TCAACATCTGGATCCAAGAACGGTGAGTAGCCAAAAAAAATATTATTCATTAGTATTAGTATTATTTATTATTTATTAATTTTATTAATATATTACGTTAATTTCTTACAAATCTCGCAAAAATTATTTTCAAATTATAGCAAAATACCATATAAATTAAGTTAAATAAATTAGAATATATTACTTTTCATTCATAAGCTTTTTAGGCTGTCTAATTTTTCTATATAATAGTGAATTGATGCTAAACATAGAAAATGGATAGCAAATTAGCTGGTGGCTGGAGTATATATATATATTACGTTAATTTCTTACAAATCTCGCAAAAATTATTTTCAAATTATAGCAAAATTCCATATAAATTAAGTTAAATAAATTGGAATATATTTCTTTTCATTCATAAGCTTTTTAAGCTGTCTAATTTTTCTATATAATAGTGAATTGATGCTAAACATAGAAAATGGATGGCAAATTAGCTAGTGGCTGGAGTACCTATATATATTATGTTAATTTCTTACAAATCTCGCAAAAATTATTTTCAAATTATAGCAAAATTTCATATAAATTAAGTTGGTCGGGGTATATATTAATATTATTATTTCATTTCCATATAAATTAAGTTAAATAAATTGGAATACATTGCTTTTCATTCATAAGCTTTTTCAACCATCTAATTTTCTATATAATAGCGAATTGATGCTAAACATAGAAAATGCAAAAAATTAGCTTCTCCATACGATTATTATTATTATTTTGGAATTTTTTCAGGTTACTAGAATATTTTTTCATGTGTTTATTTTCAGATTATAGTACAATTATATATAAATTAAGTTAAATAAATTAGAATACATTGCTTTTCATTCATAAGCTTTTTCAACTATCTAATTTTCTATATAATAGCGAATTGATGCTAAACATAGAAAATGGATAACAATTTAGTTGTTAGTAATCTACTTAATAAATCCTGATTTTAATGTTCTACATAGCTTACATTTTGCAGACAATCTCTTCCTGTTGTGATTAGTTTTTGTTATAAGTGGACTTATATTATCCGTTTTTTGTTTACACTTAAAACAATATAGTTTGTTCATTTATAGGGAAAAAATTTATTGAATAGAATTAAATTGATTGAAATTAAAAATATAAATTACGTCGTTAAAATATTACTCGGTACACCACTATCAGAGAGATAACCATGGGGGTATAACGGAATTGGAACTTGTTGCTGTCATGATAACAATATCCTGCGGGAAACGACTGTTTTTCGGTTTATAACAATGATAACGAGATTTCCGGTTCATAAAACGTGCCTGTTACATCACAAATATTATAATAATTTACATTCGATTTAAAAATGTTCTCAATTGTAAATATTTCCTTTGACCAATTTGTCTTTAACTTATTTCTATAAACATCAATTATTGAAGATAATCTTACTCTATCATTTACTTCAAATTTCGGTTTGGAATTACAAATACCATAATCATAAACAGTGGAAAGCAGTTCTTTCTCGTTTTTCTTACTTACATCAGCAGGTTTCATTTTTATTGTTCTATGGTATGTATTATTATATGTCTTAATAATCCTTGGCAATTCAGTAATCCATACATTATTTAAATAAAGTACTTTTTTCAACTTATCACCTAATGCTCTGTTAAAACGTTCAACCATAGATGCCTTTTTATCGGTGCCTGTACTATACATTGTAATGTTATATTTGTTTAGTAATTGTTTTAAATCTTTATTATAAAATTCTTTACCTTTATCTACATGTAATTTTTTCGGTACACTATGTTTAAATATTTGTGAAAATGCTTCAGATACTTCCAATCCACTTTTTGTTTTCAAAGCTACAGAATAAACTTTTTTAGAAAATGTATCAATAACATTAAGAATATATTTAAAACCATTATTAGCTTTATACAATGCCTTATGATTATCTTTAACTTTAACTTCATTATGCTTATTTCTTAAATTATAATTGGGATCACTATCTTTAGATTTCGGTCTATAAAAACAGTATAAATCAGCTTGCCAAGTATCATTTATACCTCTTTGTATAAAATGTCTCGTTTCAAAATTTTTTCTAGCTGGTTTAAATAATTCATAAGCTTCTATAAGTTCTGGGGGTTTTGAAATATTATTCTTATTTATATTACATATTTTACATACTGATAACCTCCTATATTTATTATTTTTTTTAATAAATTCAGGAATACCTATACTCCTAGTTTTAGATTTACAATTTTTGCAATAGTCCATTTATTTAAGATGTATATATTTTATATATTTTCTCTAATTGTATTATTGATAAGATCATAAAAAAATTCTGTACCAGATACTAAACAAATATAGCAAATGGTATTGGCAGGCACATCTTCGTTGAAATCTACACGTAAGATAATACTTGTTTTAGATACAGAAACATCTGAGGGTTACCTGCTCATATCAATTACAAAAAATGGTCTGATATTTTTAAATTCCTCTGGAGTTATATACATTAAAGATAAATCTCTATGTGCTCTATTATAAACATTCTTATAACTCATTAACATATCATAAGCAATATTAAAATAGTCTTTTTTAAAATCTAAGTTTAATAATTCTTCTGGATACCTTATACCATTAATTTCCAACCAAATATTTTTCAAATTACAATTACTAAACTCTATTGGGTCTCTCAATTGATTATTTAATCTATCTGTCTGAAAAGCTACGATACCAAATAAAGGATTATGGACATTTCTATATAGATTTGTTATATCTTTGTTTAGTGTTTTACCAGTAATATTACTTTCAATACATTGCCATGATTTGAATCTAAATAGATATTCATTTCTCTTGGACAATAAAGTTAATTCATTTATCAATTTATATTTACTCGCATCATCATAAGTCACAATTGGTATTCTAATAAGTAATTCTTCAATAACAACTTTTCCAACTCCAGGCACCACATCTGTTTTATCATTCTTATCTCTAAATAAAGCATCATCGTCACTACGTCTTAAAAAACTTATTTCAAAACCACCTTTATATACTGGGTATTCTATATCTTTAAAAAATCCTAAACACAAATTAGATAATTTACCAACAGCACTAAAATAACCACCAGAACTACATTTTGACTGAAACCCACTATTTATTGTTGGCCCACTAAGATCTGCAGAATAACTAATTGTACCTTTAATTAAACTACATCTACCAACATTATCAATTCTATCTAATTCTTTACCATGTTTTTTAATACAAATTGACTCAAACAAAAATCCAGGAAAATTATCAACTAATATTACATTTGATCCTTTAGGATAACTAGTACCATCAGTTTGTAAAACTTGGCCAGAAATTTGAAACTTTGCTTTTTTAACATTTAAGAAACTATTTTCTTCATTTATGTTAAAAGCAGTAATTTTGTTAGGAGCATTAAGACTTGATGTTGATATAGGGTAAAATACTTTATCCTGTTCGCGGATAATAGCATAGTCATAATTAGCAAATATATTTTCCATTTATAAGGAAAAAAATTTAATAAAGCTTTATAATTTAAAATTCCTAATAAAATATAAACATAAATGACCGCATATAGGTGGATCAGTATAAGTTTGTAGTTGATCAGTGGTGTAATATAAATCATCTTTTCCTAAATAATTTACAATTTCTTTAATTGGAGGAGAAAACCCATAAGAGTCAAAATATACTTTTATATTATCATTTTTTAACCATGCAACCCAATGTGAACCAGGTTGACTAGAATTATTTAAATTTAATATTCCACATTCATTTTTCCAAGGTTTTGTTGGTAACTCATCTTTCATAAAACAACCTCTAAAATTCATAATATTTTTTCCTGCTTTAATAATATCAAAATTAGTTAATGGTTTTATTTCTTTTTTTTGCTTTTTTTAACCCCTGAACCAATCTGTAAAGTCTTAATTTTTCTAACACTTTCTTCCATTACTCTATCATGTCTTTCTGTCTCATCTCGTTTTAATTTCTTATCTTTTGCATCGATAACAGTATTTGCAATAGCACTAGCACCCCCAGCTAATGCGCTAAGAGCACCTATACCTGCTATAATAAGAGGTAAAAAACCACCTACTTTATCTTTATTTCCAAATTGAGATTTTGTAATTTTTAATCTCACCCCCTTTTTATCTTTTTTAGCTTTAGTTAACTTATTATTTTGTCGATCAGTTAAATTAAATTTGTTTTTGCCATTACCAATCTGTGTGTGTTTTAATTGAATAACTACATCACTTTTTTTTTCGAAAGCTCTTACAAGCTTTTTTATTTGAGAATCATTCAAATCTAAATCCATTTAATACAAATAAAATTTATTAAAAATTAAATATTACCCATACCAAAATACCTTTTTGCTTTCATTGTATTTGTGGTGATATAAGCAGCTGCTTTTTCACCTATAGATGCATCTGGGGCTAAAAGCCTACCCCATGCTTTATCTTCCAAAATGTTATCTCCAATATGTCTTGTTTTAATATCTTTATGTTTTTTATAAAAATAATCATGTTCCATTGCTGCCATATCTAGTTTATTTACTGGCTTCTTATTTTTTTCTAAATCAGTAAAAGGACCAAGATAATTATAACCAGGCCAGTGTATTTCTGGCATAAAATTACTATTTAAAAGATTATTCATAAGACCTGACCCTTCTACAAATTTTTCAGGCAAACTTGATACATAAGATATTAAATATTCAATCCCTTGTGGAGTACTAGCTAATCTTTCCAACTCAGAACTAAAAAAATGTATAATATCAATTTTTTCATTATAAAAATTATTATGACCTGCTTTTTCTTCACTAGCGATAAAATATAATCTCTTTAATAACTCATTTAAATTATGTATATATCTATACTCAATATGATCTTCTGTATATTTCATTAAACCATTTCCTGTTAAAATTTGTGGTTTATTATCTCTACTTTTATTTTTTGGTGATGTCGGTGTTGATGGTTTAATCTTTTGCCAAATTGGTTTAATCATCTCATTATATTTAGCAGATGTACTTGATTTAGGTCTAGGTATAGTTTTGGTACTATTAGACCTGTTAAATGATCATGATCTCGAACTTTATAAAGTTTCTCTTTTATATAATCAACTATATTAATATCTTTCCATTTAAAGTCACTTGAAATATGGGCAGGTACGCTAGTTAAATTTTCTTCACAAATATGACAAATTGTTGCATTTTCATACTCTTTTTTCTGTATCTCGGTTAACTCATTCATTTTCTTAACATTATTTAAATAATTTTTAGCTATATATATAGCATCTTCTCTTAATTTTTTATATAATACTTTTGGAGCATCTTCACCAAAATATTCAAAAGTTTTTCTTTCAAAATCACCATTGGCATATACAATAATATAAACAAAACTTATTGCAATATGTTTCTGAATTTTAACTGAACTACAATTTTTCTTTCTCTCATTTATCTGTTTTATAACACTTTCAAAATCTGCATAAATAACAAAAGGCACTTTCATTTTATGATTAAAATTTTTAAATTGAATAAGATTATTATATTCATTCGGCATTTTCAACCGTGATGTCTTATTTAATGCACAGTAACTCCTATGATTTAACAATTTTTCTTCAGTTTGAAAACTATTTAAACACATTCTGCAAAGATATCTCTTTTTACAATTTTTTGTAATTTGACCCTTAACTAACCCCCATAAATTTTTTATTAAACAATAATGTGTATTATCACCGTCTTTCAAAAGTAATAAATCAATATGTACTTTTTTCTCATCTTTCGTTACATATAAGGGGTTTATATTATATTTCTCAACATGATGATAAACATTAATAGATAATCCACCTTCAATCAAATTTGTTTTATTAACACTGTTTAAAAAACTAGGAATCTTACTAACTTCCATTGGATACTCAATATCTATAAACATATAATTAAACAAATTTTCATATTTCTTATATTTTGTTACTCTTTGCGGATTATCAACAACTGGATATAAATGAGTCAAAATTGACCATAAAAAACATTTATCATCATCTTCATTTTTTACATTTATAACTGCTTTTCTGTTAGCTATTTTTACTGGAGTTGGTATATAAGAGCTACCCTTTATGGGAGCATATTTATTTATGGCTACATTGAGAGTGTTAATTGAAATTAACACCCATTGCGATCCTCTTAAACTATCTGAAACACGTTCATGTTCATATAATATTTTAGCTTTCATTTCTTTATATATTTCATCTAAATTTGACTCTGGAAAAATATCATAATTCGGTGTTTGCAAATATTTAACTGCTGATTCTACAACATCTATAATACCACCTTTTTCATAAGTACAAATAACACATAAATGAGCTTTTACAGACTTATGTTTAAATAACCATTTCTTAATAAGACCAAAAACAGATTTCTTTGTACTATCTATAAAATCAGGTATATTTTTAATTCCAGTTTTATTACCAATTTCAAATTGAGTATGTCTACTTTTAAAATTTTCTTCGTAAAATGTAGGCTTATAAATAGATTGTTCCTTACTGGGTTGCTCTATTATATCTTCATGAAATTTAAATGGAAATCCTGTTAACCAATAATTTTTTTCTTCGTCAGTTAATTTAAAAATAATCTCTAATCTACTGTCATTATATGATGAATGCTTTATTTTTCCAATTAAAATACTATACAATCCTTCCAAATTCTGAGTAGCAATTTTCTTTCCATATTGTATGCAAAATGTATAGTTTCTTAAAAAATGTTCCATCTGTTTATCACTTTTATTTAAATATTTATTATGTGCTTGAAAAAACTTAAACCATTTTGAAACATCTATGTCTTTATTTTTTTTCTCAGTTTTTATAAATCTTATTGAAACCTGATTATCCATTTATTAATAAAGTTTTGACAAAGTTATTTTTTTAAATAGAAATTTTTGTTTTTATTTAATAAGTAAATTTTTTAATAACAAAAATTATTCTTGAGGAGTGTTCTCTTTACTCATATTATCCATCCTTTTTGAGTGAGATTTAGTTAACAAATGCCTCTTATGGGCTCTTAAATGCATTACTTGACCACATTCACATGCTACCAATTCACTGCTAACTTTGGTTTTCATACAACTTTTACACCATTTTTGATTTTTACTAAATTCATTAACACTCTTGAATGTTTCACATTTTGAGCATAAATATACATCTCCTGCTTTCAAAGACTGCAATAATACCTCATCTTTATTTATCAACTCATAGATACGGATAATTTTATTATTTCGATTCATTTTTATATTTATTTATATACAAAATTTTTTAATTACATCATGCTACTAATTATGTTTTTGAGTTTAAGTTTGATAGCTAGTTTTTCAATATCTATAAAAAATTACCATTTCAATTCAATACAACATCGGCAACAATTCAACCCAATACAACATCGGCAACATTTCAATCCAATACAACATCTCAAAACTTAGATTAAATACCTATTGCTATTCGAAATTTTCTGTAAATAAAAGTGAATTGACGCTTAGTACAGAGAAAACTAGATAGAAACAGGTATACATGATAGCCAAGTGGTTTCTTTGCTATTTATTTGCAGTATATAAGCACTATATAAGTGTTTCGGTCTTGAGATCCTTTATGCCGAGCTGTAGGTGTTGATAAGCTGTTAATGTACTAGTTTACACTTGTCCACGGAATCTTTACATCAATTAAATTATTAAATTAAATCAATGAAATAATACTATTAAATTAAATTAATGAAATAATATTATTAAATCAAACCAATGAAATAAATTATGGCTGTAAAAATTGTATGGACAGGTGTTAACTGTGTTAGCCGTTTATAGGCATACTGCGTTAACAATGTTAGCCGTTTATATACATACTGCGAGTGACAAAAATTCCCGATAGTCTCCTACTATCGTTTTTTAAAACGTATTGGAATAATTGTCATAATATATATATTATATTATATTTCCTATAACGATAAGCAAATATATGGCGGAAGCTGCTTGGCTGTTGTGTCTAAATATTTGTAATGTTTAAAACATGTATAAATTGTTTTAAATAATGTTCTTGGCATATTTCTAAATTCTGTATTTTTTTTTAAAAATGTATGTAATTTCATTTAAAATATGTGAAATATTATTGTATTTGTATATAAATTGTATACAAAAAAGTACTCAAAATCCGATGTAAAAATATGAAATTTCGATGTAAAAAAGTTGAAATAAGCTAATTTTAAGGTGATTTTTTGAATGTTAAAAAAACTGATTGTGCCAGAACATACACAATCTATCTACTCAATGTAAATTAATTAACAGCTAAAATGTTACATTACATTACATTATTATTATTTATATACATTATTATAAAATGGTGTTGGCATACAATATATTAAACTGATAATCAATAATATACATTTTACAATTTACAAAAGATAACAATAATGACAGTAATATTATAGTGAAAAAAATACAACTATTAAACATGAATACAATCTGAGTTGAATGCAATCGATAGCAATTTGTCTAATAACATTACAAATAAAATAAAACCTCAATTATGAATACACAGTATAAATAAAAAGTGTGTACGTTACACGTTATAGATTATTATTATACATTGTTATTATGACCTTCTAACCATGAAATTGTGTTTAATATAAATCTTAATTAAATCAGTTGCAATTTATAAGCAAATCATAATGAAATAGAATACAATTTGAAACATTTTACCTAAGAACTACTCTCCTACTTATACTTTCCTTCACTTAAATTATTAGTGAACAAATACACCAACAGCATGTCATAAAAATTGTGATTAACATAAAAACATACCCACACCACATGCACTCCCCCAGTGAGTGAATAAAACACAGTGGATGGATATTGACAACATTGAAACGTTTGGCACACGATATTTTGATACATAAATAATTAATAACTTTAGTAAATGGTCAACGGATATTCACAAAACTAAGAACCAACACTCGTCAGTGATTAAAACAATTAATTGCAATTCGTGTATATAATCTAATACAAATTAAATTAAACAAAATCTCAAATATGAATACAATGTAAATTAATTAACAGCTAAAATGTTACATTACATTACATTATTATTATTTATATACATTATTATTAAGTATATAAAAGCTTTTGGCATACAATATATTAAACTGATAATCAATAATATACATTTTACAATTTACAAAAGATAACAATAATGACAGTAATATTATAGAGAAAAAAATACAACTATTAAACATGAATACAATCTCTGTTGAATGCAATCGATAATAATTTGTCGAATAACATTACAAATAAAATAAAATCTCAATTATGAATACACAATATAAATAAAAAGTGTGTACGTTACACGTTATAGATTATTATTATGCATTGTTATTATGATCTAACTATGAATATAAATCTAAATTAAATTAGTTGCTCTAACATATACCATTTTTATATTAAATTAAATTATTAACGTTTGACATTAGTTACGAACTCACTATAAATTCATACTATAGTGAATTCGCATCCAGAGAGAACCACGTGGAGGTTGTCAAACTTTCTCTCCGTTTTGCCACGAAGGCAAGGTCCACGAAGGCCCTATCCACTCAAGGTCGGTCCACGATACAAGACCGGACCGAGGATACAATCATACATTACCTGAGTCGAATACTTACCACTTTCTACATACAACTCCCACTCGCCACCGCATTACAGAACTTCCCTGTACACGATGTTCTTGGTGACGAATCGCCCGCTGTCATCGGCGTACATGCCGACTTTCACGGACTGTGCGTTTCTCACCCTCGAAAACGCCACGTACAGCTGCCCGTGAGTTAACGGGGGCGTCGTCAGAAGCAAACCTACCCTGTCGAACGTCTGACCCTGCGACTTGTTGATGGTCATGGCGAACGACAACCTCACCGGGAATTGAATGCGCTTCAGTGGGATGGGCAGGTCGTCCTCACCGCTGGACCTGAGCGGTATCTTGGGCAGGACGATGTCGTCGTCCCGTGGGTCACCGCCCAAAATCCTCGCCTTGAAATTGTGTCGCCGCAGTTCGGTGACCACCAACCTCGTACCGTTGCACAGTCGTCTCCTCGGATCGAGATTTCTGAGCAACATGACGATGCACCCCACCTTCAACCCGAGACGGAACGGCGGCATGCCGTCCGGTTCCAAACCGTTGAGGAACTCCGTGCAGAAATTGGCCACTTCGTCGGCCCCGTCCGCCAGCGCGGTGTCGACGGCCTGGTAGGTCTCCAGATTACCGGTGACGCGCTCCAGCACGTCCGCGTTGACACCTCTGCACTCTTCGTTGGTGGGACACACGACGACTCTCCGAGCAAACTCTTCGACGTTGGCCAACGACATTTGCTGCGGATCGGTAAGTTCGAAACCATGACGTCCTTGAGCAGGCGTTCCACCAGCGTCAGTTGCAGTCCCGGCGACATGGGGCTTCGTCCCAGACGATGAGAGCCGCGTTGCGTATCCTC